CTTAAACATATGATATCACCTCCTACAACAGGAAAAAATGTTGATTTACTGCCCTTTCCTGAAGACCTCCACCAACACAGCCACACTGAGCAAATATCTATCAGGGACTTCTACAAGAGAAAGAGTAGTTGCTATTTATTTATAGCAAAAATAATGTTTGTGTATATTTGGTTTATATTATCTTCATATAAAAATACACACAAATTCATAGAAATAAATATTTTAAAAGAAAACAATTGTATTCCTTTGATCTAGTGTCTTGCCTTCTCTCCTTAGGACAGAGACCCAGACAGATTTCATGTGTTTTATAGCATGCTGAACCAGAGAGTCATGGCTCTTGGCAAGAATCTCTCACTGATATTACAAAAGAATAATATATCACACATTTGTGTCCTAATGCAACAGTCATATAGTCTGAAATCCTGAATTTGAATTAAGTTTATAACCTTGACTAGGTGCTTGTTTAAGTATTTTCAAAAATAATTATTTAATATTGTTGTTTGACCTATTTACATGTCTGCTTTAAGTTAATAGCAAATACTTGGGCCATCAAATAGTTGTTGCTGTGTAAATGAATATTTCTGCATGTTCATATTATTTTCCTTCAACAAGTCCTCAGAGGTAAATACATTATAATAAATCTGTCTGTTTACAGACAGCTGGACATCGGTATGAATCTGTTAAATGTCTGTATAAAAAAGAAGAGTTTGTCTGCTATTGGGTAGATTCACTTTCTAAAAAACTTTAACTTTGCACTAATATGCCTTTAACTGCCCTTTAACACCACTCTTTGTGGATCACTATTAAAAGCAATAGCAAAATACAATACAGGGAATAAACCCCTCAACTCTCTTATAATAATGACAATAACCTTAGCCAAAGATATTTCTCTATTTCTCTAAAATTAATAACTAGCTGGGGTTAATGGCCACTGGCTTCACCTTAGGCCCTCAATTAATCCCTGAACCTCAATTGTTATTACCTAATTGACTTAGTTTCATCTCATTTTAACATTTCAAAGTGATCTTCCTAAAATCACACTGACAGAGTAACATGGTCTCTGTAGATATGCACTGACATGGTTTCAATGCTGTTACTTCGTCTCCATACGCTTGCATTGACATTTCATTCTGTGCTGACATGGCAGTGCCACATCTATGGATCTGTGCAGATGACATGTGGTTCTTCACATTAGGTGAAAGCCTGGCCAGAAGCGAGGGCAGGCTGGCATCTTATGCAGGGACATGATGCCAGCTGGGAGCTACTAAGAATTACTGCTATAATTTTTAATAATGGTTACCATTGCAAATATGATTTCTTTATTTGTAAACAGAAGAAATAGAAAATTTCAGTTGAAATCTTGCTGGCTTCCTTAAATAAACACACAAACAAAAATTTTTTATTACTTAGATCAACTTAAAAACTTAGCCTGAAAAATGCACCAGGTAATGCATTTAAAGAGGTTTTTTTTTTATATTATCACTTCATGCTAATTTGAGACTGCAAACTAATTATGCAGATCCTGTGTGTTCAAATATCATCATATCAATGCAAGTAGTTGAATACTCTAAGATGCAAATCTAAACTAAGAAATCCTCATAAAAACAGGGCATCAAAATAGAGTCTTTTTATTATGTGGAAAAGTTTTGGAAAAGTCTTTTGAAGCTCTTTGATCCAGCTCTGGAATAATTTTGGTAGATTACTATTGTATGAAACCCATAATTTATAGTAGCTGACCTCAGCTGCTCTTTGTATAACAGCCATATATGAAACAATAGCAGGAAAGTAAAAAATACAAGGGGAACTAAATCTGCTCTGTTTATTATGTAGCTCATAATTACATCTTCCTTATTTAATCTTTTGAATCCTGGCATGTTTTTAATAATACAGGTTCAATTAATATTTACTGTACACAGGAGAGTCAGTTTTGAGTAACGCATTTAGACTATCCAAACTTTGTGTAACTTGTGACCTTTCCCTAACCTAAGAGAGGTCTATTTTATACAGAACCTACTAGATAGACGGTTTCTCTATAAATGGTGAAGTTGCTGCCAAGCTCCCATTGTTAGCTAGTTCATTTTTCAACAGGCACACTTTAGGTTTCTATCACAACACTGTAAAGAGCAAGCCCTTGAGGTTTCTTCTTTTGTCAATGTAATAAAAAGGTTATTTCTCAATAACCTGCAAATCCACAACAAATGGCCCTTTGTGACTTAGAATAACATGATAGGCGGAATTTTTTATTGTTGTTTTTGCAAGCAGCTTCCCATTTTATTCTGTAATATTAAATCAATACTTGAGCAGCATTTGTTCTAATGTAATTTATCTCTTCCTTGAAATAACAAACCCATGTTTCTAACAACTGTTACCCTAGCTCAGTATTCACCATCAAACAGCAGAAGATCCCTGTAGAAGAAGCTATCTATTGTAAGACTTCATCGGACGAAGCAACACCAAGAATCAAGTTAAATTTTGTGTACTTTTTGTTGACCCTTGAGGAGCTGTTACCAACTCTGGTAAATAACAACACCCTGTAGGATGTACAAGCTCTTGCCAGATTGAATGTGATGTGGAAATGCGGAGAAAGCCATCTTTTCCGCTCTGAAGCAAGTAGAGTTTGGAACAGGAGGAAAGCTAAACCTTTAACTTCAACAGATCTCCTTAGGGAAGTACTGCACAAGCAAGGCATGAACTCAAAGAAGGTAAGGCTCCTTAATGAAAGAGATGCTTTAACAGTTGAATTCCTAGTATCTCCTTTGCCTATCTTCTAGTAGCACAGAGGACCTAACTTAGTCCTTTGTACAACTGTACTCTCAACTGAGGAGTGAGTGATTATTCTGCACTAAGTGTGCTCCGTTTGGTGAGTACTCCCAGCCTGCAGAAATGACCTATGTTTCATACTGAGAGTATGAAGAGCAACACAATGGTTCCTCATTACAAGGCCATGTGGAAATCAGAGGACAGTCTCCCTGGAATCTAGAGCTGCTGTTTAAATTAGAGTAAGAGCAAAATTGCTTTAGATGGTTTGTCAGTTCAAATGTACACAGAAATGGAAACAGCACTTTTCAGAAGTAGTAACAGAAACAGAACCAGGTGGTAGAAAACATGGTAGAAAACTTTTCTAACAGGACACATGAGCAAATGGGAGGATACTGAATAAATAAAAGTGAAAGTTGTTAAAATAAGATGAAAAATTAAAAGGGGAGGATCAGAAAATGGAAAGAGGCTTTAATAGTCTTTGGTAGTAGTACAGATGATGGAGAAATCCAAAAGCCAATACCAGGGAAGAATGACTTTGTGAATGTGCAAATACAACAGGATGAAAACTACTGATGAACTACCAGTAGTATTAATGTAATGAAGTAAGCACTGTAAGACATTTGGTCCCTTTTCTTCAGCTTCAGACAAAACCTTTCTGCTCTGAACTGTCTTTAGGGAAATATTATTAAACTCATACTAATAATGTGTCCCCAGAATATTGGCATGAGAAAACCTCCATTCTCTTCCTATACTAGAGTATGCGACCCACCATTGTGCTGCTCCTCCTTTACAAAGAAGTTTTGCTTCCCTGCTCAATACAATTACATCAATTCCTAAAGCTCAGAACAGGCCTTATAACAGTGGTTGTAAGAGCAGATGCTTGCAAGTCTATATATGCCAGTGAGAACATCATTCAGTTTTATGTTCACTTCTGTTTTCTGGCTTGGCATAATTCATTAGCGCACTCTACAGAATACTCCATAAAACTGAATTTGGTTTTAATGTTAAGGTTCTAATGGCCACAACATTGTTTAAGAAAACCAAACCAAGAAAAAACACATAAACAAACAGTGGTTTGTGTGCCTCCTCTTTAATATTAAAATTGATGTTTACATCTGATAAAGAAAGAAAATAGCCAAATTAGTTTTGGTTTTTTTTGCAGTACACAAGTAGTAATAGCAAAACAGTGCTAATTTTTTATGTTTTGCTTTCAGCATTTAAAATAGTGACACAGCATAGTTTTTGTAGTAGCAAAGCTTTTTTGATAGCATGCAATGAAATTGGTACAGTATATAGACTTTTGTGGCTAATTTCATTCTCATTTTAATACAGATTCTTTAAGTGGGCAGTATATGAAGATGAGTTCAAAGCTCTGATTAAAGACAGCTGTACTGCTTTCCAACCTGTTATGTCACAGCATTAGGTAGAAGAATAAATAAACAAATATAAGTCTAAATTGATTTATCTCTGTGTCTCCACATAAATTTGTTTAATGTAAAAACAAATAAAGCAAAGCTTTGATGAAGGTTAGCAGAATTTTCAACATCTGTGCAGATAAATTTAATTTATTCAAAAAGAAAAAGCAGCATTAGTGTATCATGTAAAAGCTGATTTAAATGATTTCATACAACAGAAAGCATATGCAGTAGCTAAAACAAATTCTATTTGCCTTTAAAACCCATTTCACTCAGACAACCATTACTTCTGAATTTCCCACTATGATAATGTTCAGTTATTTCTTCTTTTTTATTCCCTTCTTGATTTTACACATTCTCCTAACCTAAACCATAGTTAAAAGTCCCAGGGGAATTAACACCCTAAAGGTAGCCTGTGTGTAGCATTGTGCAGGTACATTCACAGATTGCTTTTGTGTATCTTTATGGGCAGATCTTTACAGCTGGTCAGGTAAAATAAGCTCAGCACAATACCTTAAATATTTGAATGCAAATGAGTTACAGGCATTTGAATATTTCTTAAAAATAAATCTCTTCACTACAACATATTCAAACCCAGGAAAGTATGTCTATACAAAAATAACTCACTACAGTAAACCTATACTAGTTTATCTCTGCAGCAAGGAACACCAGAAGATTAAAGATATTCTTCCTTGAAAATGAAAGATTTGTCAAAATGATAAATTCCTGTCTGAAACTTACCAGAAAGTGTTAAGGTGAAAACTAAAAATTAAAAAATACTGTGTATACATCCAAAAACTACAGCTGGAAAACTCCTGGATAGTAGTTTTAATATCCTTTCCACTTGAGGCAAGACTGTAAAAAGTCTGCACATGATTTTTGAAAAACGTACAGGCGCACAAAGTATCACTAAACTTTCAACTAAAAAAAGGTGATGAATATGCACTGTAATGTTTTACAGACCCTTTCTTTCTGGAAAAGATCATCAACTTGTGCTTTAGGGAGACTGTTATCAGTCCTTAATTTCTACAACAGAATCCATAGCTTTTCTCAGAAAATCTGAACATGATGAGCATACAGGCAAATCTCTCACTGACATTTTAAAATATTTTGCCCTTTCTTGAGTAATAGTTAGCAAAGAGTATTGAAGTGTGCCAAGCCAAATATGCCACTGTCTTATTAAAAACATCTGAGAGCACAAACCTGAGACCCAATCTTGCCCTTCTGAGTGGCAATGTGGATGGAAAAAGAAGAGACTGAATTCAAAACTTCAAGAAGGGCTAACACCCACCTCAAACAACTTCTGATCTTGGTGGTTCTAAGAAGAGAAAAACAAGGCTCTTGCAAGGAAACAAGTACACAGGAAACTTCTGTCCATTTGTGTGCTTTATTTGTCTTGTGAAACTGATCCAGTATGAAGCACTGTTTTATCATTTTTTTAAAATTCCCCTTCTTGAATACCAGGATGGCGAAATCCTTCAGTAATAACTCACATAGAAAACTCCTGCATGTTGTTCTTTTGGACTTCAATGTGCCAGAAATTTGCTCAGTACCTATAGGAGTAAAGACAGATTCCTTCCTTAGTCAGTTAAGAGAAAAATTCCTAGGTATAGATTCCCTGGGGGTGAGGGAGAGAAAAAGACAAAACACAAGGTATTTTTGAGTCATTAAAATACCTACTAATCCTCCCCCACACTACCCCCAAACTTCACAGGCTTATATACATAAAATGAAACTTGTGCTCTTCACTTTCACCCCCTCTCAAAATCCCCTAACCATTTTTTAACTGTTAACTTGGGATTGTTGATTTTAACAATCAGATAGTGACAAAACACATACACCAATTATTATCTCAGAATCTGGCTATTTACTGTAACAGCCATGATCCTCTTACCACTTGGGCTTTACCAGCTTTGCATTATATTATTTTAAGCCCCAAAACAACAGTTTTCACCAAATCTCCACATCACTGTAGGTGTTTTAGTCACATCACTAGCACATAGTGAATTCATAAAAAACACTTAATTTTACAGGTGACTGTAACAGGCATAAGAATTGAAAGCTCCACCTTTCAGCCTCTGAACTTTTGTCTTTGTTTAGAATGCTTGAAGAAGCCATCCGGAAGGAAGAAAGATTATGAGTATCTTGAAACTAGCTGTTTGACAGAGACAGAACTGCTGATAATGAGTGGGTTGTGTCTGTCTTTTTTGGCTGATCACAACAGAGGTCTGAAGCAAAACAGAAACTCTTGATATGTTTGTGTAAAGCAGCAGTAGCATAAGGGCGGGCAGCAGGAGTTCAGCTGAAGTTCAGGGCAGATGCTGCCATTAGTTTACACTGCAGGAAAGTAAAATTGCTTCCGGATTTACCTCTTCCTCCCAACATCAGCACTGAGCCATGCTGTGGCGCAGAGTCACAATGTCAGTAGGGAAGCAGTCTTTTAGCAGGATGCCACGTTCACGATGGCAGTCCAGCTCTTCAATAAATCCGTACCAGTAGATGACTAATCCAGGGCCAAATCTATCAAACAAAAAAGAAAAATGAACTTATGTAACTGTGTTAGGGGAATTTCAATTTCCCATCTCTGTGATTCCAACACAAATCTTGTAACTCCACTGCAAAATTGGAGGGAGTCTTTAACCTCCGTTTAATTTTCAAATTTTGAATGTGCAATTGATCGATGTCAATAATACCTGATTCCATGAATAAAAATGCTATTTAGAGACTCATAGCGTCTACATCAGTTTCAGTTTCTTCTTTTGAATATTCTGCATGTGTCAGTAAGAAATACCTATGTATTAAATACTATGTAACATTCAGTAACTGTGATATATAGAGAAACTTCTTTTGACATGCACCCTGCTCTTTCAGATTTGTGTGTGCAGACATGAAAGACACAAGGGTTTACACATGTCCCAGTTCACTCAAATTACAGTACCATGAAGATAACAATGAATCCTTAAAGTATAATCTCTACAATGAGCTATTATTCAGGTAATTATTAACATAAAGCACAATTCAGAAGAAACAGAAAGTTTGTGTTGTAATGGCTCTGAAATGTGCCTCAGGAATTCCTCAGATATTGCTAACTCTGACTGATCCCCACTAGGCAATCTCAGGAAGTAGCCCCATGGACTATTTTACCCATCAGGAAGTTCAGACCTTCAGGCTGGGTTCATAAAGAAGTAATCACTATCAATCACTGTGTACTGCGATATGTTTTGCACATCAGTTTCACGTTTTTCCTACTGAGAGCACTTAATTAAAGGGCAGCACTACTTCTGGTGTAGTGTTGCAGGAATTTTACAGTGGAATCATAAATTATGAATGTTGGGTTAGTAAAAGGATGTCTAAAAACAGAACTGCTTTCTGTAGTCTAACATTACAGCAGTCTGTACAACATTAGGCCAAAAAGCTTTTTCTTCCCTTGATTTATTATATGCTGCAGTGAACTTGCCAAAACCAACAGTGCAGGATGAGCTGTTAGGTACCGTCTGTACAAGAAAAAGTTCAATAGAATGTCATGCAATGGTTTATATGCAGAGTTGTACTCAGGACTCAAGCAATATGGTAGCCAATTTTTGTTAATGTTTAATTATAATAAATATGTGCCGGGGAGAGGCCTGGTAACCTAAATGTCCACTGAGCACACAGTAAAAGCACTCAAGGCCATGGGTAGTGCCAGACTGGCTTCATGAGGGTGGTTTCTTTCCAACAATGCAGAGAAAACTCTATTTGATGTGCTCCTGTAATGGAATAGGGATCAAAGGATGAAGAAACCCCTGTGGCTTCCTCCTGCAGTTTCAATTAGATGTGGTACTCTTTTGCCTGAAACTGCTGCAGAGCATTGTAACATTTTGGTCTATGGCTACTACTCCTCAACCTCCAAGTGGCCACAGTTCAGTGGCAGAGTAAATTACCCTCAGCATAGATGGGGCCACACTGGCAAATACGCTTTTTGCAACTGAAAGGTGATATTCGAAAGTTGCAAGGTTAAAACTCTGACACATCTGGTTGTACTAGTAACATATCCAAACATGTCTGGCAATAAATACAGTACAGACTAAAAAGTGCTCCTATGAAGAACAATGCTGCCTATACCCAATTCCTAATTTTGTCTGGCTGGCCAACAACTTCAGCTTCTTTCCACTGTCCTTTGCTTAAGCTTCTTGAGGGGCCAAAATGTGCAGAACCTCACTATACCCACAAGCCTGGAGACCCAAGCAGGAGCAAGGAGCCAAGGCAAGTGAGGCCAAGGACTGATGCTCACAGCCTCTGGTGAGAGACAGCACCAGTCTGCCGATCCAGGAGGGGCCACTTTTGTTACTTCACAGACTATGCATCTGTTGGGTAATTGGGTGGGGATGTACTTACATACTAACCAAAATTATTTTAAAAGCAAAAATCCCCAGAAAATAGGGAGCAGACCTTACATTTCTAATGGGCTATTTTGTGCAAGGCAGAAGGTACAAAATGTATGCAAGTAGTTACTCATTATGAGCACATGTGCCAGGTAAAACCCTGATGCTAATGAGCAGCTGCTCACCCAAGTTCTGAAGGGCTCATTTCAGTTTGTGGCAGTCTGAATCCCCCATCCACCATAAAATGAATGCAGCACTGTGCTTAAGTAATTTGTTTAGTTATTTTTTGAAACTGTAATTTTAATTAAAATTACTATTTCAAGACACCTCAAAAGGCTAATTTATGTCTTGTGAGCAAATCACCTCAGCTCAAGCATACTTTTTGAGGTACTTAAAAATTATGTTCAGAAATACCAAATTTGATAATAAAATTATAGACAAGAACATCTGCAGACTGTTAATGGCAGGAGCAAGTACATCTTTGGCATGAAAACATCCATCAGTCCTGCTTCTGACTGTGGTGTTACAGCAAAGCTATTTGCCCTGTGCTGCCTAGGTTGCACTTTTTCAACTGTGTTGTGTCATTCGTTCTGTTATAGCTCTATATCATAAAGCTCATGTGTATGAACACATAAAAACCCGTGCCATACTTTTGTTTGCTGCACTTAAGTGCAGTACTTAAGACCAAAATTAAGTTGTTGGCACATTAAGCATTTGCCACTGACTATCACGAACTCCTGCTGCTAAGTGCTAATTTCTCTCTCATTAACGCCCAGAGTTGGCAAACCACAAACAATGCCACTGGTTAATTACTGCTGCCTTAATTTGAAAAGACACTTAACCTTTTGTGTAAGGGGATGAGATAGGGAAATGTAACCTAAAAGTAAGAACCATACTTTAAAATTTGACTCCTTCCCAAATGGAGATAGGACGCCCTGAGGAATGAAAGTCAGTGCTGTGAATTACAAAGTCAAGCTACAAATTGATTTCTTGTATCAGTGGTAACATGGAACAAGTTAAGTGACTGACTAGGGTTTGCACAGGAGAGCGAACTCAAATGACAGAATGCATACTTGGTATTGCTATGGAAAGGGGATGCATTCAGTAGCTCTGAGGAGCACAGAAAAGCTTTGAATGTACCAATTGGCTCTAGAACGGTCTAGGTACAAGACAGGCCAGGTTATCTTATTTGAGATGAAAGACATGCTGCAGAAAGTTTTGGCTTAAATTGAAAATCAACCTTAGAATGCAACAAACTATTGGACTCCTATGGATTTTCTTCTTGCTTAGAAAATTGTATAAATCCCTGAAAATATGCTTGTATTTCTTCTCCCCATCTTCTTAGGTGTGAAGGAATCCGTCCAAAATTTACATAAAACTGCTATTTTAGCTTTTCCAGCGAAAGTACTGCTTTTAGAACTTTACTTTTATTAGGGGTTTTTTTTTAAAGTTGAGAAGAAATTCAAGTAACTAAGGCTTGGTTGATTCCATGCAGTAAAAATAGAATGAGGAGGAAATACAGAGGCAAGCTTCCTTCAGAACATAATAAACATAGCAAGTGAAAATCGTCCACACAGGTTGCATCAGTTTACTTAAAAATTAACCAATAGATAGGTAGCTATCATTACCTAAATCCTGGTTTAGTCAATGCCCAGTTCTGACACTAGCATTGTGACTGACTACAAGACAGCCAAAGCCAGCTCGGCTGCACTTGGGGTGTGAGTACCAGAAGTGCCAAAAGGGAGGCGCACAAGCTTCTGACTCCAAGGCACGGCAAGAGGAGAGCAGCATTACAAAAACTCATGGATTGCTTTAGCCCAAATTTAGGCTTGATATAGATGACTAAATTTAGTCTAAGTACTAAAGGCAGCACATGGTGTCTTTCAAAGAAATAACTGAAGCATTTGACACAGAAAAATACAGTTTGAGTATAGTTAAATATAGTTGCAGTCTCAAAAAGTTCTTTAGATAAAACATCTGACAACACTATTTGATCTAAGTAAGTCAGGTTTGCACTAATTTCAGATTGTTCAGAGGAACGCTGTATCAGTTAACCATATAATTTCAAATATATTTTGAACGAAAACCATAGCTAAAGTAGTACACTGATAATCCTGAGACACTGAGTTTTGTTTTAGAAAGGAGTTTCACAGAGATACTCTGTAAAGCCAGAAAGTAAAATTCAGATAACCCAAAGCTAAATGCTTCTTTGTCTTAAGAAAGAAATCACCAGCAACAACAACAAACTAAGGGATCACTTAAAAAAAAGGGAAAGAAAACAACTAAGTAAAATATGAATCTGGATTTAACTTGCCCTCCAGTTGAACCGGTTTTTTGCTAGAACAGAGAAACACTTTTATTTATTTATCAAAGTGGCCTAGTAGGCTCACACATATTCTACTTTCTTTCAAGAGAAACTGCTTTCTAGTAATGTCTTCTGGAATGTCTGTGTGAGGTCCATACCACCTCCTTAGGATTTGCCTAGACATGTGGCTGTTGTGAGGTGATTTTCTTCACCATCACAAAGCCTTGCATGTGCTTTTATGAAAAATGCATTTATGAAAAATATATTTTCAATACACTGCTTGATACGGAACAGAAATGTGAAAGAACTTGGAATCATTTTTATAAAAATGTTCATTTATTATTAGTCTATTTGTTATAGATGCTCTATATGCATCTCAGCATAATGTAAATTATTTGAATTCCAAAAGACTCTCATAAGAAAATGCTGGCATATGAGTTATTATTTCTAATGTGCATGCATTTAAACATATATTTTATCAAATGGATTCATCCATCATCAATGGATTCATGTTACAAAAGTATAAGTCTACCTGGTTGGTGATTTTAATTATCTAAGTCACACCTGAATGTGTCTTTTAAGGACTGCATTCTGGTCCCCCACTTTTCAATGCCAGCTAAAAAGCTGACTTTGTCTCCTTGTTTTTCTTTTTAAGTATGGAGAAAACCAGAGCATTACCATTTGCACAGCACTACTTGTTTTTTGGGAAAAGGGAATTACAAAAGTTCACAAATTAGTTATTACATTCTAAGTCACTTTAAGATTGTTCTTCAGAACCACAGTTGTGAGTAAACAGGCTTTACTTCTAGTACTAATAAACCTTGAAGATAAAATAATTAACCTCCCCATAATAA